ATTGAGTCCCATACTTGCCTTCCCCCTTTTCATCCAGTCTTTCACCTCCTTCTCTGTTCAACCTAGACCCTGTGGTACAGTAATTACTGCAGCCATCCCTGCTCATGGCCAATAGCATCAATCCCCTTGTTCTCTCTTTGAACATATCTATCTGGGAGAGTTTGAGAAGTATCTAAATCAAACTGCAGGCACAGAAGTCCAGGGAAGCTTCTTGAAATTGATGACACTTGACCTGCATCTTGGTGGCCAAGTGAAAGTGGGAGAGAGTATACGTAGAGTATGTGTAAAAGCACAAAGTAGGGGAACAGTGGGGCTTGCCTGGGGAATGACATGAGGTGTATGTCTAGAGCAGGTACTTAGCCCTACACAGACAGGAAGTAAAACTGCAGGAGCAGCCCCTTACTACATGGGGATGGGCCTTGGGCACCAGGCCAGGGAGATTTAGCATCATCTTTATAACTATGAAGAGCAGTGGATACATTTTTGAAAATAGCTTTTAGGTTATGACATTAATGTATAGTTATAGAAAATACGAAATGCCCAGAAAAGCAAAAAGAAGAAAATAACAATTACCCTTAATTTAATTGCCTAGAACTCACCACTGTCAAGATTTTGCTGGGATTTGTCTTTTTCTTCTATGCATATTCTTACCTAGTTGAGAGCATGCTATATAAGTAAGTTTATATCCTGCCTTCACATTTAACATTAAAACTGGTTGGGTGCAGTGACTCACACCTGTAATCCCAGTGCTTTGGGAGGCTGGGGTGGGGGCGGGGATCACTTGAGGCCAGGGGTTCAAGACCAGCCTGGGCAACATTGTGAGATCCTCTACAAAAAATTTAAAAATTAGCCAGGCATGGTGGTACATGCCTGTAGTCCTAGCTACTAGGGAGGCTTGCACCCAGAAGTTCAAGGCTGCAGTGAGCTATGACAGAACAAGATGCTGTCTCTAAAAAAATTAAAACAAACAAAACATTATAACAAACAACATACTTAACTGTTCTTGAAACCTTTTAAATATTTTAATGGCAGCAAAAAGAAAATCCATCATAGGGATACCATATCATTTTTCCAACTATTCCCATACAGGTTGAAATGAGGGGGAGGGAGATTTCACTGTTATAAATGATGCCACAATGTACATATTTGTATGAACTTAGGCTCTGTCAATGGTTCTTATGATCAATACCAAGAAAGAAATTAGTGCATCAAGCAGCATGAAAGTTTTAGATTCTTAGTTTTCTGCTGTTTTACATTATCAGCGTGGAAGTACACACACGACATCTTCTCTTCTCTAGCACTTGGTGTTATGTTAGGTGCCACTGAGGACTTTCGGTGTGGGGAATGACATGACCAGATTTGTGTTTACAAAATTGCATACTGGAGGCTGAACCAAATGGACCAGCTTGGGATGCTATCGTCACCCTTTTTTTCCCTCCTTTGCTTCCACATTCTCCTTTTTCATTTTCCCATTCTTTATCTTCTTTCTTTTTTTTTTTTCAGGGAAGCTCAGTTTTTATTGAAGACAGAGCTGGGGTTTAGAGGGGCGACCCGGAGAGGAGAGGCCAGGGGGGAAGTGGGCGGAGGGCAGGCGGGCCGGAGGCTACCTTTATCTTCTTTCTTTCCTGGAGAGCGTACATTATGTGTTTGCTGCGCATAAAGCACTGCACAAGGCTTTGTTACCAAGGAATAAATAAGAGCAATACTGAATGGCCCAGCTCTGTGGCTGCAACAAGCTTGTACTGGCCCAGAGATCCTCTTCCTTTAGCTATGGTGAAAAGAAAGAGTCTCTGGACAGTAATTCTCCTTTGGGAAAAATATTTTTTATATTTTCCATTGAATTCACCAAGTGGGTTTATTGAATAAAGTAATTTCTTTTCCTCCATCCTGTGATTCTCCGACCCTGCACATGATCATCCCTATGCCTGGAATGTCCTCCCTCCTTCTTCTTTTCAACCCAGCAAATTACCCTGGCAATCATTCACCCTCCAAGACCTTCCTTAAGTAACTGTCACATCCTCATTCTGTAATTTGCACAGTCAGAATCAGTCACTTGAGCTTCCTTGATCCTATACTTCAATTACAGCATTTTCTGCACCCAACTCTGTTTCTCCCTCTTAGGGAAGAGTCCTTCAAGAATAGAACATTTTGTATCCCCAGTTCTTAACACAGTGTCTGGCACTTAGTTGGTACTCAGTAACTGTTGAATGAATGAGCGAGTGAATCTCTGTCTTACTAAGGTGCACAGACATCCCATCTTAAACATTAATGAGTTGAAGAGTGTAAAGATAATACAGAGATGACATGGCTTGCCAGAATCACTCTCTGAATCATTGGCGCCTAAGGTAACAGACACCTGATTTACCAGATGTCCTGAGCCTGGATCTGTGTTCTACACATTGATTGTTCTGTGTACCTAGACACTGACCTGCATTCTGTTCTCTTTCATTTTAGCTCCAATTTAATTTGTACCTAAGTACCTCTGTGATAGAGGAAGTAAAGAGGATTAGTGATGCCAGGGTTGCCCAAAGTGTATTCCAGTAAACAGCTGATACCATGGGCTGTTTAAGGTATCACACACAAAAAGGGTCTTGTGGTCCGATAAATTTGGAAAACAGTTAAACAGATTTTTTTTTTACCTCAGGGCTTCTTGGCAGGCATTCTAGGAAGCTGAAAGAAAGATCGGTTAGGCAATGGTAGGAAAGTAGAAGAGCAGTCCGGTCTTGCCTCAGTAGTAGTCAGCCTAGCCTCTTTATGCCAGGGAAAATTCGGAGTACGAAATCAAAGGCAGAAGGGCACAGAACACGCCACAATCCTAGTCCCTACCCCTCCATTCGTCTCCTCGGTCCTGCATCCGTGTGAGCCCCTGCCCCCACCCACCCACCCATGCTGATGAGATCAGCCTTCATTACTTCTCTTCTAGAGCCAGGAAGCAAGGTAATGTGTGGGAAGTGATAGCTGCAAGGTAATGTGTGGGAAGTGATAACAACTTCAGAGTTAAAGCCATTCAACAGAAAAATTTGTTAAAAGACCAAGACATTGTAAAGCTGAAACACTTGAGTCTATTAAGTCCCCTGCTTCTTAGAACATTTTGTTACCAGGGAATGTTTCAAGGAGGGAAAACAGTGAACTATTACAGCACTGTAAGATACCAAAGCCTGGTACAAGAGCAACGTTTTACAAGACATCTGTCTCTGCCATTAGAGAATCTTCTAAAAAGTTCTGCTTCTCTTTTCTCCTCCTCTCTCCTACCCCAACATTACTCCTCCACCCTCCTCACCCCTAGACACACTCTGTACATTTCTCTCCTCCCTCCTCCTCCTCCTTTTCTTCTCTCTCTCTCTCACATTCATAGCTCATGTTGTTTTCACAGACACTATTAGAATGATATGGTAAGCTAAGACATCCAATGGTTATTCAACCCTCTTTGGTAAGAAGGGGACTAATTACATGACTAGAGGTTTAGATATTCGTTGTTTATTAGGTCCAAACTCCTTCAGAGAGCCTGGAGCATTCTCCTAAACTAACATTACTCTTTCATGGCTTCTTGTTCCAAGTCCAAATGAGATGGAGAACCTAAAGGGGACAATATTTTTTCACAAATGTGAAGAAAGAAGTACTAGGGAAGAACGGGAATGTTGACAGATGTGGAGGAGAAAAGCCATGTGCCTGTCACAAAAGACGAATGTGATTTGTGTATCTGTTGGCAGCTGATGACCCTTAGTGATCATCGGTAGTTTAGACTGTAGCAATGTTGACACATTTGTGGTCAGCTCAATGGTTTGTTTAACTGTCTTCATCAGAAATACATCCGTCAAGAGAGTGTTTTTTAAACAATAGCCTTCTAAACCAAAGAGTAAAGAGGAGCCCAAGTATCTCCTTGCCAATCTTAACAAACAAACTTAACAAATAAACTTCTGAAGTGCTATACCAGGAAGCACTTTGGAAGACAGAAGCCATCTGTTAAATAAACAAAAGTGCTAACATAGACATGACTACTCCGGGAGCTTGCACCTCCTTTTCAAGTTTGTGGATATTAATAGCATGTTGGCAATTAGCCACAACTTATGAGAAAGTTACTTTTGCCTTGGTTAGGCAGAGGAATGAAAGCTTTTTAAAAACCTGCCTTTTTTTTTTGTTTCTGTATTAAATAAATAAAAATTGTGTTGTAACAGTCAGTCTTGGGCCCAACACCAGACATTAATCCTGCCATTGCCTTCACAGGAAACTGGGGAGGGATAATCCAAGCCTTAGGAACTCTGAAAAAAACTTCCAGGCTCTGGATCAGATGCAACTGCCACCGTGGGAGGCCATCGATCCTGAGTGACTCTGAACCTGAGCCTCATGCTTTCGGCCCCTCCTTTTCTCCTGGGGGCCCACAATAATCTGCTGTAGGTGAAATATTCTTTTCCTTGGCTTTCATTAGGCACCTGGTGTCCTGAAAGAGGTCACTGACTTTCCCGAGGATATCCAAGGAGGCTGGCTCACCAGTGGCTTACCACAGGCCAAATTTGAGGTTAATTAACCATCCATCATCGCCAGCGGGGCCAAGATGTTATTCAGACCTTCAGAGAAGAGAGACTTGATCCAGCTATAGATAACGGCCCTCGTCAACGTTTCTTCCTGTCCTAGTCCCAAACTGATGTGTTTTAGCTACACTGAGGGGGTCAAAAATTATTTCAGAAATAGCTGGCTCATCATTTATGTTACTCCACACTTGAAGAGGCTTCTTGATATGGCAACCTATTTACTGCACGCATGTTAATGTTCTCAATCAAAACCTTTTTTCCCTAGAACCAGGTTTCTGTTCATGGAAAGGTACATTTTTTGATCTTTGGGGAAATGCCCTATTCAGAGTGAGTATGAAAAAGCTGTTCGGTGGGAGATGAAAGCATACTGACAGACCTGGGCTGGCCATCCGAGGACCAGACTTTCTGGCCAGAACCTGCCTGAGGAATAGAGAGATGTGTATGTGCTGCTTTTGCTATCTCACTCTGCAGACCTCAGTGACCAGCTCCTTGAAGTGGTGGGGCTGGAGGGAGCCATGGAGATGGGGCAGATCTACACTGGCCTGAAGAGTGCGGGCAGGAGGCTGGCCCAGTGCTCCTCTGTCACCATCAGGTACGCCTCCTCTTTCCCTGGCAGTCTCCAGGCTCCCCACCGCCCAGGGCCTTCTTGCAAACAACAACCAGAAAGCCATCTTTGGATTTCAGAGCAGGGAGACTGGGGCACAGAAGTTTCATGATATTTGTAAAGAACATCTGTGGAGACCATTTCCCAAGCATGATATTAAGTAATGCAACCATTCAGCACATTACCTAGAGGATCCACCGCAATCAATTTGCTGTTCTCTTAAAATGACCTGGTGAAATTCTCCAAACAGGAGTATAAGATTAAGAGGTCCAGAGAACCACAGGTCCAACTCCTTGCATTTTTTATCTTTACAAATTAAAATGTTAGATGTATGCCAGAGGTCACACTCATAAAAACCAGGTGTGCTTGAGCCCAGAAGTTCAAGGTTGCAGCAAGATATGATCTGGGCTACTACACTCCAGCCTGGGCGACAGAGACAGAATGAGATCCTGTCCCTAAAAAAAAAAAAAAAAAACCACACAATTTAAATTAAAAAACAAAACAGGTGCTCTGTTCTGCTCTTTCTTAGATAGTGGCCTTGGAAATGATATTTCCTGCATGCCTTTGTATGCTAAAGCATCCACATCAGCAAACCTGCCTTAACTGACTAAGAGGATGACAACCTTTCGGGGATAAATCACACAGGGTAGCCACTGCAGGCTCCTGGAAGAGATGGGATCAAACAAGGGAATCCTCGAATTTCAGTCTCCTCTGTTCAATCAATGCAACTAGTCTCATTTTGTCTCAGATTCTTTCCCCACCTGATTATTTCAGAAGTCTTCATTCCTTTCCTTTTTCCATTTGATTGCTATGCATCAAATCTATTAATATGCCATGGAGATCTCCCAGAGGGGACCACAGCATGCAGGGTTTCCTGAAGATATTGGACCCCCAAACTCTTTTCTCCCAGAACCTCTTGGGCAAGTGTCATCAGAGCACATCCGAGAAACTCTGCTCTTGGCACTACCTTGCATTCCTCAGAAGGTTCCACAGCCTGCTCCCTGATGGCGCTTAGCTGAAGGTCTATCCCACTGACCCCTTTTCTTCGTTCCCTCTCTTTGTCTTCTCCTGTCTCTCCTATTCCCCAAAGCTTTGCTCCGCTTTATTTCTGAGCTGTTGTGATGGGGCCCCTGTTTTCCAGATTTATCTCTCTAGCCCTGTACTTTCTCCAGGACTCTCATACTGAGTAGGTCCAGACTATGAGTATATCTAAGCCATAACTTACGTAGACTGCAGAGAACATAATATCCTCATTCCCTGAGGAATCCAAAAAGCCGTGGATAAGGGGCAGGAATTTTCCCTTATATTCTTTTTCTTTTTATTAAATTTTTTTCTTTCTTTTTCCATCACAGAAGATTGAACAAGGGTTCCCTTATATTCAGTAGGTCTATTTCCAGATAGAAATGGAGGGGGTGAGCCAGAAGCCCCATCCTCCTGGGCATTTCCCAAATACTCTCCTCAGCTCGAAGAACCAAAAATGCCACTCTTTCCTCTTATTATTTGTTTTTATTATTAGATTTATTGTTTTTATTATTAAATATCCTCAGGGTCAGTCAGAGAATCATCACATCAAAACACAGCTTTCCCTTCTCATTTTATAATTTCAAAAACAGGGCAGATGCCAAAGCCAGGTGAGGGCTTCTCGGTCAGTGGGTGCTAACTGTTCCCCACTCACCCAGACCAGAGGCCTCCAAAAGGGCCTGCCTTTTCTCCCAAAGGCAGTGTGTTATGAATTCATAACTCTTCTGCAGAAGGAAGTCAGAAGACCTCATCTCTCTCCTTTTATAGAATCCACATGCTAAAGAAACCTTGTCCCAAGCAAGAAAGCCACACTTTCTCCTCTCCTCCCCTCCTACCCATGGAGGCAACATTCCTGGATAACCCTCTTTCCCTGCTAAGCCAGGGCCAAGTTCGTGCAACCCCAGAGTACACTGTTGTTCAGGAGATAAAAAAGGATAGTGGTTCGGACCAAGTGCAAGGCGAGACACACTCAGACCTGAGCTGTACCTCGCATGGGTTGGAGACGTTACCTCATTGACATGACGCAACCTCTCACTCAACATAGAGACCAGGCCCTTTCCCATTGCAGAGTGGGGTTTTGGCACCAACTGCAGGCCCTCTGGCTGATTGTTTGACTGAGGAGGGTCTGCTCAGCAGTGCTGCCATGCCTGCTGGCTGCTCTTCCCCAGATTTCTGCACATTTCACTGCTTACCCACAGCAGTGTTTCCCAAAGTGCGGTCTGAGGACCAAAGCAATAGAATCACCCATACTGCTTACTAAAATGCAGATCCCTGGGCCTGGCCCCAGACCTGCCAAGTCAGAATCCCTGCAGTGGGCCCAGAAATCTATTTTTAAGAAGTCCCGCAGGAAAGTCTTAGAGAAACACTCCTAGATAGGTGGATAAGGTTTGCCCGCCTCTGTTTTCCTGCTGGGAACAATCTTGATTCTCCAACTCCAAGAAGCTTACTGTGTTCTTTTGGTTTTCTGGGTTCCAGGACTAACAAGCTGCTGCCAATGCAAGTGGATGGCGAGCCCTGGATGCAGCCACGTTGCACGGTAAGTTTTGCCAGTCTTTGCGATGAGGATGAGAACCTTTATTTATTTTTCGTATTAAGTCAGGCCCTTTTGGGCACTGACTCAATGTGAAATCGCTGAATTTCAGAGTTGCAGGGACCTTGGAAGATTATCTAATGCAGCCCCTCTTCCACTCTATTCATCCATCTACTCATTTACCTGCCAAGCTTTTACTGAATGCCTGCTGTGTGCCAGGCACTGTGAGGCGCCAGTTACAAAACTGAATGAGACATACACCCGTCCACAAGGAGCTCATAATTCTAGCTGATGAATTCTGAAACTTCATCCAGAGTATCCTTGACAGCCTCAGCTTGACTCATTCCAGTGGCTGGGAATTTACCACCTCAAGAAAAAGACTGTTCTACTGATGAACAGTCTAATTGTTAGAAAATGCTTCCTTATGTGGAAGCCAAATCTACACACTTAGCCTACAACTTCCAGCCCATGGCTCTGACCACTGGAGCTCCCAGGAGAGAATTCCCCACGTGCACAGACACACCCTATTTATCACAGATGCACCCACAGCCCTGAGGAACTACCTGAAAACTCCACTGAAAGAGTCACCAAACAGGTTATCTATTTTGTTTATAGCATTATCATCCACAACCTAGCACTGAGTCTGGTTTGTAATAGTTGCACAATAATATGTGTTGACTAATGAATAAAGGACTTAACAAATGAACAAAAAAATGGAACATCCCCATTCCCTGACTTATTCTATCTATTAATATGTTAGCTCTCCATTTAGCACTACAAGAGCCATGCATCTTTCCCTCTTAGTTTGTTCCCAGTTAGAAACCCAGCTCGAAACTCTGTGCTGAAGACAAACCATTGTCCTGGTTTTCAGGGACTCTACTGGGACATTATATGAGTAATACCCTCAACGCTGTCACAAATGTGTAAATTTCAAAAGACAAAAATTGTGCTCCTAGGCTTCTCCCCTCCAGTGGAGTATCCAGATAGCTCAATAGCCTGCTAGTCTGAGCCCCTCAGAACATCAAGTTGTCTTCTACTAGAGAGAGGGTTTTCATGAGCCTGCTGAGAAGATATGACATCTTCTATGAAAGTTTTCAAAATTAAACATTTCTTCACAAAAATCTTACCTCAATCTTATGAAAACTAAGAAAAGGATGAAAACACACTATAGCAAAAACTATAATAATAATAGCTTCCCACATTTCTGGAATTAGGAAGAATGGAGGGAATTTCTACCACTTATCATTCGTTTTTATGGAGCTGAGTTAAGAAAAAGCTATCCAAGCTCCTCCTGCCTCCTGGAAAACAAAAAAAAATCAAACCTTCTCCCACCTGGTTCAGTGATATCTGAGAATGGGTTGCCATTCCTCTAAATCCAACCACTGGTTTTGAAATAGCCAAATACTTTCCCTATGCCCACCCCCACACTCCCTCCATACTGCCCTTCAGAGTTTACAACTCACTATGAAAATATTTGTAACCCAATGGTTTTATGGTGTGAAGTCCAGAAATCCATATGTAAAGATGGGTTAGTCTGCTCTTGCTGCCATAACAGAATACCACAGACTGGTGGCTTAAACAACAGAAATTTATTTTCTCACAGCTCTGGAGGCTGAAAGCATAAGACCAAGGTGCCAGCAGGGTCGGTTTCTGGGGAGGCCTCTCTTCCTGACTTCCAGCTGGCCACCTTCTCACAAGGCCTTTCCTTTGTGTGCGCTCATGTTTTCTCATCTTCTTAGAAGGGCACCAGTCCTAGTGGATTAAGGCCCCACCCTTGTGACCTCATTTAGCCTTAATTATCTCCTGAAAGGCTGTGTATACAAACACAGTCACATTGAGGTCAGGGCTTCAACATTATGAATTTGGGTGTGGGGCAGGGGGAGAAAAACATTTAGTCCCTAACAGAAGGTAACAGAAAGTCATTCTTAAACTTACAAGGGTTAAAACAAATGTACCCCTTGTTGAAACATGTTCTTCAAGGTACACACCAACTAAGAAGTGATTCAAAATTAAAGGCTTAAGAATGGGATATCACAGCACAAAGGAACTTTTGGTAAAAATTAAAACCAGTAAAATTAGAATAAAGTTTAAAAAACTTGTTACATATGGTCATACAACTGAATGCAAACAGCAAAAATCACTCTTTGAAAGGGAAGATACATAATGTGAACATTAATAACCTGGATCCCAAATCTAAGGTTATATTAACAAAGGCTGAAAACATGTGGGAGACATTGTTGAAGGTATAGTAAAACTTGTTAAATTTGTCATCATCTCTTTTTACTTTGATAATTAAAATATATAAATTGGAAGAAAATTGTATTAATAATAGCTAGATTATCACTAGTGAAACTAAAAACAGCACATACGCGTTTCAAATCTGGGAGAATTTAAAATATATAAACTCTACCAATGTAGCACAGGACAGAAAGCAGCATTTAAAATTTTTTTGAAGATGAAAGAGGTTAAGACTAAATATATCAATAGTGATCAAAAAAATAGATGAGTTAAAGTTCCCTATTAAAAGACCAATATTCTCATAGTAAGTTAAAAATTAAAATCCAAATATATGCCTCTTACAAAAGATACACCTGAAACAAAAGGATATATACGTATATATAATTTATATCTTTTTATTTCATCATTTATCAAGCATAGATAAATGAAAAGTAAGAAATGGTGATGCTAACTTTAAGCAAACTAACCTTGCCACATGCCAAAAGCATAAAGCAGAATAAGAAAAGTCTATTTTTATTTAATAAAAAGTACACTCAATTATGAGATATAGTAGTCATAAAATTTTAGATATTTATAACAAAATAAAAATACATACTGTGAAAAAACAATATCAATATATATCTGGAAAAAATAGATATATAAGAAGTTGACAGAAAGTTATTGAGAGGCTTAAAAATGTTTGTTTCTACCTTTGAGGTTAAGTAGCAAAAAAAAATAAATGACACAAAGTTTGAATGAAATAACTCTATAACTTATAAACAAACTATCATATTTGTTCAAGAAATTATAAAATATTTACTAAAATAGATCACAAACTAGTTTACAAGGAACAAAAACTCTATAAAATCCAGAAGCAGAAATTTATTTCCTTTGACCCCAAAGCAATAAAACCAGAAATTACTAATAGAAGAGTAAATGAACAAACAAAATTCAGTCACTTGGACACTTAAAAATTCTTCTAAAGAACAATAGATTCAAGAGGAGATCAAAACCAGCATATTGACTACTAAAAAAAATTATAAAAATAAGAAGGCTCCAGTTCAAAATTTATATAATACAGCCTAACCTATATTTGGAAGTAAATTCAAAGCCTCATAAACTTCCATTATATAAAAAAGAAAAAATGTAATGAATAATCCCTAAATTAGAAGAGCAGTAATAAAACAAACTTAGGAGAAGCAGAAGAAAGAAAATAATAATAAAAGATAAAAGTAGAAATTAAATAATTAAAAAAATAGGAAAATCTATGACTAGTTTTTTAAATATATCGAATGTTTGAAAACCTAATTTTTAAAAGATAAAAACAGAGATCAGAGATATTGAAATATAAAAAAAGATGTAATATAAAACATAAATGTGTCAATGGCTTTATTTAATTATAAGATTATATATATAATTATCTTGATTCTGATAAACTTGAACAACTTAAGAAAATGAATGAAAATCCTAGTAACCATTAATAAAATAGAAATGCTATCGAATAATTACATACGAAATGATCTTAAAACAGATGGTCTTACTGGTAAGATTTTCCATACTATTAGGAAATAAATATTTAGGTTAACTGCTCTATAGTATAGACAAAGATAGAAAGATATCTCATTCATTTTATAAAATGAAGACAGATACAATAATTTAACAAAAATTACACTTAAAAATAAAAAGATACAGACCAATCCCAAATATGAATATGATATAAGAATTCTAGTTAAAGTATTGGTAGATAGAATTGAACAGTATGTTAAAAGAATCATTCACCACTCAGAGAATATCAAAGGAATGAAAAGTCTTCTAATATTAATTTAGATTTAAAAATTACATGATAATATAAGTAGATGACCCAAAAGTATTCAGTTACATTCAACATTTCTGATTTTTAAAGATAAAAACTCCTAGAAAACTAAAATCAGAAAGATACTCCCTATGTTAAACCAATAACTAATGTTTTACTTAATAGTAAAACACTAGAGGAATTCTCATTAAAATCATGGCCACGTGTGCTAACATTATTTGGAAGTTCTAGCCAATGCAATATGCATGAAGCAGAAAAGAAATATAACTATTTGGAAAAGAGTCAAAACTGTCATTATTTGTAGATGATATGATTATGTACATAGAAAGCTAATAGAATCAACTGAAAACCTCATAGGATAAATTTTTTCACTTAAGCCCCATAGAAAAGTAGACAAAAATTAATAGCTTTTCTATATACCAGCAATAACCAATCCAAAGAATATAATAGAAAAAACTTAAAATATCATAATAACAGCAAAAAGACATAAAATACGAAACTGAATTGTGGAACACGGAAAATAACTCTAAGACTTAAACAATTAATAAAAAAAAAAAAGATGTGAACACAGAAAAACAACCCATGTTCCTAAACAGGGATCCCAAAATCCCAATGCAATTGTTTCTTTAACTTGACAAAACAATGCAATTCCCAGGGCATTTTATAAAAGAGCTATGAAAAAGGACTTCTCACAAGATACTGAAATCATTATAAAGCCACAATAATTTGAATAATGTGCTATTGGCATGATATTGGATGGATAAATTGATAGTACAGAAGAGAGTCCTTAGAAACCCTAGTATATAAAACTAATGGAGGAAAAAGAAAGATCATGAATTAATTAGAAGGAAATGGATGGTTTAACATATGACATCCAGGAAATTGCCTGTTTGGGAAAATGTCATTATATACCAACCGCTCACCTCAAACAAACAAAACAAAAAACCCTCCAATTCTGTTACTAGCTCTCAGAAAAAAAGAAAAATAGATGATTCCAATTACACTGTGAGCAGGGACTTTCTAAGGAAAAAATGACATATTTGTCTATTAACCATTTTTAATTTCTACAAGTCAAGAATCAGTATAGATATTTAAAAGGCTAAGAACAAGACGTGTGCAATAGCTATCTAAAAGAAGAGGCTAATTCCTAAATGTATAAAGAAACCAGCTCTTAGAATCCAGCAGAAAAAAAATACTAACAATGGAATAGTGAACAGACACATTACCAAAGAAATGCCATGGGCTAATAAACCTGTGAAATAATATTTAATATCACAAGTTTATTGAGAAAGGAAAGATTTTGAAATTAAAACAGTGAGAAAGCCATGCCATATTTCATTTATCAGTTAGCACAACATTTTTGTTTGTTTGTGTTAAGATAATATTCGTTACTGCCAAGTGTGTGGTGAGGCCAGCACACTCATGCAGTGAGGCAAGAGTGTAGACAAGTACAACCATTCTGGAAAGCACTGGGAACCATGTGTCAAGAACCCCTACAAATATTAATATACATTGATCCAGTTCATTTACTTTCTCCCTTAAAAAATTGTTCATATACTTCTAAGAATTTATTCTAAGTAAAATACAGATGATCAAAAACATAGGCAGAGACTGATATATAAGAATGCCAATTTCTATATTATTCATCATAGCAAAAAATTGGAAATTACTGAAAAGCTCAACAGTTAGGGAAAGGGTTCAATAAGCGAGAGGCATCATATGGAATCATTTTCAGCCATTTAAAATCCTAGTTAATAAATATTTAATGACAGCAAAGATGCTTGTGAACTGTTAAATGAAAACAGCTGATTAAGGTGCTGATTTCAATTTTCTTAAAAATATATAAGCATGGAAACAAACTGAAAACAGCATGTCAAAAAGTTTAACAGTTATTACCTCTATGTTCTTTTTAAATTTTTTCTGTATTTTCAAAATTCTTAAAAATGAGCATATATTTGTGTAAACATAGCAATATATGTATATAAAATACACGTTTATTAAGAAAACTTATCTCAATGCTTGCGGCACTCTCATGCTTCACCATCACAGTTAGGCAGCATAATTCGAGCCTCAAAATTCAGAATCTTCTTCTCCCAGAGTTAGATGATTGTAGAATCTCAAAGTTGAAAATCATCCTAGTTATTTAGTCCAGTGATTCTCAAACCTAGGTATATATCCAAATAACCTGGAGGAGTTTTAAAATACAGATTTCTGGGCCACATCCCAGATTTTCTGATTCTGTAGGTCTGGATGCCGGAGAATTTGCGTTTTCTAACAAGTTCCAAGGTGCCACTGATGCTGTGGTCTAGGGACCACACTTTGAGATCCAATAATCTAGTCAAATTTCCCGACTCATCAGTAAATCACACATTTCTCCATCCCTTGCGAGACCTGATTGTCCAGTTCGGTCGAAGATCTCTGATGGCAGGAAACAGGTGAAGGTCTCTGAAGACAGGAAACTCTCGTGAAGCAGGGCATGCTAAGACCTCGGAGAACCCAGAAGTGGCTAAGACCTTAACGACTATGCAAACTGTCCCTCCTTCTTTAGGCTCACGTTAAGCCGGACTATTTCCTTAACTTTTTAAAATATTATAGAAAGGATTTGAGGCCTTGCAGGTTTGTGCCTTTCCATATCCAGTTAAAATTAGGGCAGACCTCAGACGCTTCCCAGATGGTTCGAGAAGGGTCCGTACTTGCAGTTATCGGAATCCTTCTCCCAGAGCGGGCAGCGTTCAGGAAGAAGTCCCTCAGTTTATTGCTTCTCTTGAAGTAGTAAAATGTGTTGATTTGCGGGAAATGCAACCTCACCCCCCTGCAAACAGAGTACACCCCCAGCACTAGTGAAGTTTAAAATTTTATCCTATTTTAAAGGGGAAACTATATGCTGCAGTAGCTTTGTGAATTTTGAACTACCATGCAAGAGTCTACTGTATCAATTCTCTCTGTAATAGAGCGGAGAACTAACAACGTGAGCTGTTGTCCTTTGTGCTCTCCAGGTGTTGTGAGTGTTATGAATGGTTTCCAAGAAAATCAACTGTAGTTAACTGTCTGATTTGCCCAATTATCAAAAAAGTTTGAGTTTAACTACAGAAATACGGGATACTCTCTATCAGGGTGGAAAATGTGGGCTTAGCCATATCCAACTACCTCCTAAAATAAGTTCTTAACTATTTTACCCACTAGCCCCTTAATTTGGAGGTAAGAGACTGACATCTCTTTGACTGCAAATGAGGATATGATCTCACGCTTCTGTCAGTTATCTGGAGTAACAGAATCCACAAAGCTGCCCAAAATATCATGTTACTCAGGAGCCCCAAACTCCTACCCTGTCAAGACCTTTGTCAGAAACGCTGAAAAAACAAAAACAAACGAAAGGGATTTGAGTTTCACTTCCTCCTCTTTGCCCTGGAGGTGCTAACAAGCAAATAAATAGCTCAGCTGGAGGGACAAAAAGGAGAAGCAAAGGTCTGCTATCATTTAAAAGAAATGGGCTCTACCAGTGGGAAATGCAGGCGCTGCACCAGCTGCCACCCTCTGCCCAAACGCAGCCATCTCCACGGCCAGGACACGCTCTCTTTCTCCTTGGGTGTCCGCCTCAGTCAGCACTTCCACCGCAGGCACTGCGTGCTGGGGGAATACCGTGTGAATAAGCCGAAGTCCTTCCCCTCAACGGGCACGTGAGCTCAGGAGTGAGAGGAGGCTTACCACAAGGGAATGTGCCACAAATCACTATCCTCAGAGTGCCAAACTGCATGCCACAGATAAGTGCTGTCAGAGACTCCAGTCTATGCCTCGCTTCCATGAATTCTGGAATAAACACAACACCCACAATAAGACACACAACACAAGATGGTGTTAGTGTAGCCTTGGCTTGCTCCTCTGGTGACTACCGCAAAACAGAAAGACTCACCTCACTTCTAGATCTCCAGGCTGGCGGAATCCAACATAAGGGTCACTTTCAGCTTTCGTCACCAGGTTATGATAATTGCCCACAATGATGAATAATATAGAAATCGGCATTCTTATGTATCAATCTCTGCCTATGTCTTTGATAATCTGCATTTTACTTAGAATAAATTCTTAGAAGCATGTGAACAATTTTTAAGGGGGAAAGGACAATGTTCTGTCCTTTCCTTTCCATTTCCTGGAGGCTTATAAATGTAAACTTGGCTTATAGTAGAGCCCTCTAAGCCAGGCACTCCCCACTCCAGCTCACCCTGACAACAGCTGTTGAATAACTTCCCTCAAACTCTTTTTCTCGTCCTGTTATTCTCCAGCATGAAAGGCCACCTCTCGTGGTTCCTCATGACTTCACGTGAACCCCGTCTTGCCACCTCCCTTGACAGCCCTGCACCAGCTGTCCCACCCTGACCACATTCCTCATTCTTTGCCCTTCTCACCTGTCCATCCACCGCTCTTCTACCCAGTGCCTTCTCCTCTTTCCACCAGCACATGTCCTTCCCTTCCTTCAAATCTTAAAATTCTTGCATTTCTCCTATTAGCCTCTTCTCATTCCTTACCCACCTTCTTTCTGATACCACCTGGTTTATCCTACATTCATTTAAACTTGTTGATGGGTCTCTCTCTTCAAGAATTCTTCTGTTGTTCCCTGGGGTCACGCTGTCATTTCCACGAATGTCATAAAAACCACGAGAATGGGTTCACAGTTTCTGTTTGTTTTCACATTCATCTTTCTCTTTCTCCTCCAATGTAAGACAACAAGTATTAAACCAACAGTTACTTTCTATTTTACAGTGTACAGTGGGCTTTCATTGACAGTCTATCACTTGATCTTTGCAAGAAAAATATGACAAATGTTATCATGCTCATTTTACAGTTCAGCAAGCACTGGCTCCAAAGGTTAAATGATTCGTCCAAAGTTTCACAGCAAAGAAGTGGAGGTGTCAGGACCCAAACCCAGGTCTTTAGAGACCCAAACTCAGGTCTTTGAATCCTAAGTGTTTCCTGTTGCCATGTCATCTTCCTACTCTGAACATGTGCCATACTTGATAAGTATTGTGGATGGACTAATAATGCAGATTATTAAGGTAGCAGTGTCACCAGGCCACATTCAAATAGAGATTGAGCATGTTGAAGCCATGACCTGAGCATAAGGTTGAGAAGAAAAGCAAAAATGAGACTTCATCAGTGTCTTTCATTTCCAATTAACTTAAAGTTTACAGGAGAAAACACTTTGAAACCCTCAAATTCCTATAAAAAATGCTTTTAAAAGAAATTAGAGTCTTCCCTGGAAGGCTAAGAAAAGAGAAAACACCTAAGGAACTCCCTTGGGAACTCTCCACGTGGTATTACTTGGTCAGAGGTCAGACTAAAGCCTCCCGGTCAATTGGCTGACATCTCTGCACGGCCTGGAAAGAAATGGCCAGGAGCAATGGTGGCCGGAATCTGAAGGTCTGGGCTCTGGCTGCTCTGCCCTCTCTGTGTGAACGCAGGCCAGGCTCAGGCCCACTGGAGCCTTGGATTCCAATTCCTTTATCCATCCTGCAGAGGGGTTGAATGAGAAGGTCCCTGAGGCCTCCTCTGGCTGTGACATTCTGATAGTCTATGAATAGCAAGGACACAAGACAGGTGTGAGCTGATCACCATGTGGGAAGCTCACACCTGTCTCTCCCCAGTGTTTCTGCCCCTCACTTCCAGCAGTGCCAAACTCCAGGCCCGGTCAGGGTCGAGTTGCCAATTTTGAAGCAGTTCAAGGACGGTTGTCCTTCTGCATGGCACTCCTTCCAGCATGAAGCTGGCCCTCTTTCCTTTCTCTGGGACTCACTCTCCCTTAGGCTACTGAGATTTGCAAGCCACTAATTCATTTCTTCCTCTTTGCCTTTAGATTAAAATCACTCACAAGAACCAAGCGCCCATGATGATGGGGCCTCCCCAGAAGAGCAGCTTCTTTTCGTTGAGGAGAAAGAGCCGCTCAAAAGACTAAACGATGTGCCAAACGCCAGCTAAGCCAAGAGCGAAAGCAAGAAACTGTACCTACACACCTGCACACACACATTTATGTGCACACACACACAGACAGACACACACACTCTTCTCTAACCAGTGGAAGCGAAGCCACCCTTCAGGAAGAAAACTTCACCTTGCCATACATCCTACCTATTTCAATAACGGATACACCCTAACAGAGCCAGTGCCGACTTGACATTTGGAATGGGCTTTGGGCCCACAAGGGTATGGTTAGCTCATGCAGCAGCTTCCACATTCCCACAGGCCTTGAGCAGGACTTTCTGAGACTGAAGGAGAAATCCCCCTTCCTTTCCGTCAGCGCTGCAACTTTCCTCATGGACACTCGCGAGGAGCAGGCTGCAGGTTTCCTGCCTATGTTGAAGTCGGATGTGGCCGAGGGAAAGGGCTCCAGTTCCAGAGAACTTGCACAAAGGTCCCTCTGTGCAGAGACAAAACGGCCCCCGGCTCTCAGAGCACACTCCTTGGCAGGGCTCAGCAAGCGTACGTTGGTTTCTTGGTTGTCCTCGGAGCGACAACTTCTCCCTGAACTTGCTGAGGAGGCAGAAAGGCCGTGGAAAGCTGTGTTTCCATTCCTGGTTCTCTGCGGTGTCAGTGGGCACTTATTTTCCCAAAGCCTTCTCCTGGTGACTGTGTGTTTATTTAGAGGTGGCTCCAAGAACCCCCAGAGCTGCCTGTGCAGCACACCTTAGATGTGGTATTTATTTTCTTAGTTCTCTGAACACCTGGGAGGGAAAGCAGAGAAACTGGGATTTATTTTTCAAATTGGTGTCATAATATTGTGTAAAAAGGGAAGAAAAAAAAAAAAAACCACCCCCAGCTTCTTTCTTTTTCAAGCCAAAGCGTGTTTCCTGTTTGAGTTCCAAGCCCTGGTGGCAGACTATTCCTGAAGGCAGGGAAGATGGGAGGGAAACTGGGAGACAAACCGTAGGGCGGTTCCCTCCTGCTTCTTTGCACTGACCACTCCCAGAGTGTGACCTGAAGGACCTTCTGGTGGTCTTACATATGTGTATATATGTAGCATATATATTTATATATATATATATATAAATATTTATTTACTGATGGACTTTTCTTGATTGGGAAAAAAACATAGTATGGGAACAGAAAGTAGGAAAGAAAAAGCAGCTCCTTGCTCCCCCCATCCCCCATTTCATTGTTAGGACACATTTCCCTGTGGTGATCATAAGGGAAACAAAATAGCTCCTTATCGTGAAGAGGCTGAGAACTCCGATTCCGGATCCTGCAAACAACCATGACAGATATGCTGGGCAGGATTTGCTCTCCCATTTGTCAGATAAGGAAATTGAGTCACAAAAAAGTTGAGAGACTTGTCCATGGTACTGTGGTTTGAGAGTAGGGTGTCACTAAGAAGATATCTAATGGAGAAAAGAGCCCATACATCTCAGAATAGGGTCATGATTGCACTTGGATCTAGTTTGCCAGGGAAAAACTAATGTGCAGCATGTGTGTGGCTGGGACAAGCCCACACGAGAAAATGAGGGCTTCGTGATGCTTTCCGGTGGTTCTCTCTGGCCCGAACTAGAGAGAAGTTGAAAGGCAGTAGACAGATCATCAGATGGAACTCTCCACATGTCACCTCATCATGGTCATCATAGTCTCTTTGATGTTTGGAAACACCCCTAGCTGCAGGGGTGACCTCAGTGGAGAGTCACAGGGAGGACTGAGTCACCTTCTGCAAGTAACTGCCAGCCACAACAGAGGGGTCTCAGCAGAGCTCAGTGGGCTTCATTCGGTTGGTGCCAGCATTACCCTCCTTTTCCAAGGGCAAGTCTGTGCACAGCTTCACTGGGCCTCCATCCTTCTCTGAGATTGCTGAAGAGGAAACTTGGGCCCACTTGACATTACTCCACTGAGCTGCCTCTAATCTTCCTTGGACAAGAAAGGAAATGTCAAGATTATGTGTACAAATTGAGCCTAACTCTGAAGGAAGCAAGCATCTGGGATCCAGGACCAAGATCTAGCACCATCCTGCTCGACCTAACAGTGCAGGACCCTGGGCAAGGAGAAAACCAGGCCACCTAAAGAATATCCTTAATAATGGGATCCTTGGTGATAGGACCAAGCAGCTCCAGAATGACTACAGGTACTATCTTGGAAACCACTTGATTCTGAAATGGAGGCAGGTTCAGGTTTGGGGTCACTGATTCTAAGACATTTACAGAAGTTTTTGCATGTGTTTCAACCCTGATCCCTCAAGATGGAGGCTGTTGAGACAGGGCACTCTCAACAGGTGGAATTGATTCTCGGAGACTCACAAGTCTCACAGAGGAGCCTGCAGAGACTGGCCTTACTGCTCTACCCTAGTGCACAGGACTTGCAGTGTTGCTTGACAGACAAATCCTAATTCCTTCTTAGAGGCACAGAGTGTAACAGACTTCAGTGGAAATGCACTTCCGATTTGGTAACCTTAGTAAGTCTTGTGTTGTTTAATTTTACCTTACAAATCATCCTTGAAACACTGTGACTGTGGTTTCTTATTGCACAGTACCCTAACATAGTGACCCTCATAGCAACCTCTGAGGTTAGCAGAGAAGGTATTATTATCTCGTTATCTCAATCTTTATGAGAACAAGGCTTAATGAGGTTTAGTGGCTCCTCAAAGCTACACAGTTAGCCAGAGGAGAACCCAGTCCCTTATTTCTTGTCTTATTCTCATTCTGACCATGCTACAGACATGTTCTCGCCTGCCCCCACACTCCTACCCCACCAGCAATAAAAACATTAAAACAGAAAATCTTCAGTACTTTGTGTTGTCCCTGAACGCATGGGCTAGGAGTCGCATCTCATTATGGCTTGGTCTTCGTGGGGTTTCCCCAGTGAGTTGAGAGTGGAGATAGACTTAGTAGGATGATTATATTCAGGTCAGGGACTAGCTCCTCTCAAGAGAGTTCTTTCCACAGATGGAAAAGATACGTTAAAATTGCCAAATAAATTAGGAAATACTTGGCAGAACCTGGAAGAGCCTCCAGACTGGCGTTACATAACATGCATATACATTATACATATGCACATTATATAAGGTGACATAGTACTTAATGTGCTGTATATATTATGTAAATTACATATTTGTGAGTAATCATGATAAATATAGAGACCCACTAATCACTTTTTTACACATACTCAGTGACAGATTAGGAAGTTACTTTGCCAGAGAGTCTTAAAACTTACTCTCTCCTGATGCTTTGGTTCCAGCTCCTGCCAAAAATAATTGCATCAACTTTTCCCATCTCTATCCCCCTCTCCTCTTGGCCAAAACCCTCAGTTACCTCCTGTCCCAGCTAGGCTGTGCCTTCCTTGCAACTCTACCACAATTGGGATCCATAAAAATAGAACCAGGGGGATGGGAAAGATCCAGATTCCCTGAGTTGCAGTCCTGTACCTCAACACTTCCAGGCAGGGAGGTGCCTAATGCTAACATTAAAGGGAGGGGAGGATGGGTGAGGGGGAGGGAAGGAGGAGGAGTCTACCAACCCTCCGAGGAAGGAGACTTCGTAGTCTTCCTTGGCCACCAGCTCTGGGATCCAACAGTACATCAATCAAGAATTTATTTCAAATGTCTAGTCTAAGTCTCCACAGCATATCTGAAACCATAATTTCCTAAAACGTGTCTCACAAAACACTAGTATCCATAAAGTGCTCCATGAAAAAAAGAGTTCTGTGGTCAAGTACTAGATCCCTTCTAGGGGACACATTGAGAGGCTCTGAGAGCTCACAGTAAAGAACCATAGTGCCCTTTGTCTGCCAGCATCTACAGATTAGAAAACAGTGCCTTAAGCCCACCACTTCTCTCTTTTTAGGTCTCAGTGGAGATGGGAACATGCAAGTAACCATCTTCTGCAATAATATTCCAAAAAGTGCTTTTCTAAGACAAGTCTCCATTCTTAAGGCACTGTTTCTTGTTTCTTCTATGCGATTGTCTGTTTTTATTGTTCCTCTCTACACACTTCAAGCAAGAATCAACAATCTAGATTCTTTGTCCCCTGAGTGGCATAGGGATTGGATAGGGGATTAAATGGCCGGGGGGATGGAATTAAAGGGAAGACATGATAGCTGCAGGGCTCAGACTTATCTGTATAGCTCCAGAAAACAGAATCAGGTCTAAAGAACACATTTGTAGAGAGGTCAATGTTTATTCAATTTAATGCCTGCCATTAGAGCTGGCCTAACATGGAAAAGGCTGCCTTGTGGAGGAATGAACATCCACCTGCTCTTATAGGAAAAGCTTTGACCTGGTTGAATGGGAAACAAATGGTAACTGATCTACCTTGCCCAAAAAGCTGTTGAAATTGTTTTTGTAGGCATTAGTGTTAAATCAATAGATCTATTAATTCCTTTTGAATAGCAATTTCTTGGTGTATTCTATTTTCTGAAAGAATGAAAAATGACTCCAAGAGAGATTTCTGCATCAGTGGTACCACCATTTAGATCAGACCTATAATGGCAGGATTGACCTGACTCACTGGTACCCTCAAGGGTAGCTGGTGGTGGTTTTGACAGCTTCTTGGTATCTCTAAGGGTTGAAGGTGTAGTTTACAGCATTAAAGCCAAAAGATATTTTGCATTTCTATTGGGGTTCACATTAGCAGTTTGGAACTCTTCTCCTAGTCACAAATATCAGTCCTGTATCAGAGTTGCAATAGCAAAGAAAAACAAAGTATCCCACACCTCAAATATCAATCAAGTTTTAAATAAAAAAGGAGGCAGAATAGTATAGACTTTCATATGGAGCCATTGCTTTTAGCTCAACTTAATGTTCTACCATATTGGAGTGCATCTTTCAACTTCCTACTACAGAGAGAAAGTAGGGAAGGGAGATAAGAAAGGGAATTCCCACTTACTGCTTACTAGTTGCCAGGCACTGTGTCAAGATCTTTAAATGTGCCATCCCTTTTGATCCTCAGAACAACCTATGATATGGGCATTGTAATTATTTCA